GATCATGGCCTGAGCTGAAGTCGGACCCTTAACCGACTGAGCCACCCAGGCGCCCCATAGGAAGGGGGTTTTCTGATGGGCATTGGCGGTTCTACCTCTGGGAACCCTGCAAATTCCCATAGTGACTTCCGTAGGACCGTGCCACACAGGGCACTGTTTCTACGGACCACGTTCCCATTGCCCTTCTGCCTGACCGTGCGGCCAGGACGGGGGTCACTGACTAAGCACAGGTAAAGGCCCAAACACAGTGGCAAACAGCATGCAGTTCAGCCCACCAAGCTGATCTGGTTTTGTCGTCTCTGGTCAGAACGGCAGCCTTTCGCGGCGGTTTGTTCACCTCGGAACGACCGTCCACGAACCAAGCAGCTCTCTGTTGGTCAATCAAGAACTGTTTATAGGGCACTTTCCCAGTGGCAATAGTATCCAGAGCCCCTCGGGGCACCTGGGTGGCAGGCGGTTAAGCATCCAACTCTTGATTTCGGCTCACGTCATGATCTCATGGTCTGTAAGATCGAGAGCCTCGCATCAGGCTCTGCATTGACAGCGCGGAGCCTGCTTGGGATTCTCTCTCTCTCTCTCTCTCTCTGCCCCTCCCCCACTCGCATGCACACGTGCTTTCTCTCAAAATAAATAAATAAACTTAAAAAAAAAAAAACCAGAGCTCCTCAGGTGGTTCCAGAGTCAGTTCTGGGAGAAGGGCATCTATCTGCTCTCGAGCACATGGAGTTAACCTTACATTCCCCTAGCAGCACGCTCCTGCATGAACCACTTCCATGGCCTTACGGAACCCTGCTGGGCACCGCCCTCCGTCTTACCTCATGTTTCCAACACCACCCAAGATGTTACGGGCATGTCAGGTTTTAAGATTATGTTCCATCCTTTAAGAGAGGAGGTCTGAATTCACGTCTGAGAGCAAGTTAGTAATTGCCTCTCAAATGGACATTCTCTAGCCCAAAGTCTGGCCGGCTGGGAGGGGCCCCAAGACTTCCACTATAACTGCAGCCTATGCTCCACAGAAGGATGTGATCTGTGTGACCTCAGGCAGTCTTCCCGGCGCCCATTGAGAATGTCCAATGAAGACAGCAAGCGGTAGCATGATGGCAGATGTATACGCCTTTTGCTTTATAATCCTAGAGAGTGGAAACACTCCCCACTCAGACACAACATCCACCCCTGTAACACATTCAGGCAAAACAGATACAATCACTTCGCATGAAAACTATTCAAACACACCAACGGCACTTTCCCCATAGTCCCTTCCACCCTTGTGTCCCTAACCGTGGCTTTGCCAACAGGTTTTCACTTTACGATACTGCTCGGGGCAAGTGTTCCCCGGTCAGATGTGGAAGCCATTGCGAGACAACATTCAGGGGAAGGAGAAACAACCCCCCAACGTAAAGTCTGTCCGAACATTGCACTTTCAGTCCAAGCATTCACCTTGATCGCCAAGGCTTGCATTTTCACGTCCTCCGAATATGACTCACCAGTGCTCCTGCTACCGCGGCGCATGGGACCCCATGTCACAGACTCCAGGACCTTCCATACCCTCTGACCATTTTGCCCACTCCCAGGCAGGGGACAGAGCTAAGGGACCCTGACACTGTCACCAATCTTTATCTTAACTTGTGCGGCCACTGCCTCAGTGGATTGGAGGTCAGCTTTCTCATTACCTGCTTTGCCTTGCAGTTTTCTGAATTCCTCCAGAGTAGGGTAAATGGAGATGTGTTTAGGTCCCTTGCATCTTGGCGGGGGGGGGTGCAGCAGGTCCAATTGGTCCACTCAATTTCTAAGTGCTGCATTAACAACTTTCTTTGGACCGTAGCCACAGCTGCTTTATTCACCCCATCTTTTTTAAAGTTTATTTATTTGAGAGAGAGGGAGAGAGGGAGGGAGAGGGAGAGAGAGGTGGGGGGGGAGGGAGGGAGGGAGGGAGGGAGGGAGGGAGGGAGGGAGGGAGGGAGGGGGGCAAAGGGAGAGAGAGAATCCCAGGCAGGCTCCACACTGTCAGCACAGAGCCCGATGCGGGGCTCGATCCCATGAACCACGTGATAAAAACCTGAGCCAAAACCAAGAGTCAGACGCTTAACTGACTGAGCAGCCCAGGTGTCCCACGCCCCACTTCTTAATAACTGTTTAAAGACTCTGCCCTGCTGGGATGGGCCCAGTGGCTCTCTCCCCTCTATCTATCCTACTTTCTTGGGAATCAGTCTAATCTTCATTCGTCATTTTAGAATTATTTTTTTTCCCCTTTGGAAATGACTCTGAGTCCAGGGCCACACCTAGGCCAGCCAGAATCAGGATCTTCCCCAACACATTCCTTAGGCGGGGGCCCTGAGACGAGAGGCTATGGTTTGGACTGGCCAGAAGCAAAGCCTGGCCCGTCTCTCACTCTCATGTTTGCCATTAGAGCATAATAATAACGAAAGGATCGCATTTTTCCCCCCTGTTATTCTGCATTTCCTTAGGCATCCAGTGAGACAACACCCTGGGCCCTGGACCCATCATTTCTAAATTCCACTGACAACTTTCACCTCCAGGAACTGATCCCAATACAGCTGCTGTTCCAAACCACGGGTGACCTGGCAGCCACCCAGGAATCAAAGGGTCCTCATCCCCTGTCCTTTCATTTTGCTTTTCCCGAGCCACCTGTTCCAGTGAATCGAGGTCATTCTAGCAAATGACACGTTTTGTCACATTGATGACAGTATTGCAATCTAATCTCAGTACTAACCAACTAGCTCAGGCCGTGGGCACAGTCCCCAACGAGACTGCCCTCAGTTGGGGCTCCAAGTTCAGGGCTTCCCAGGCTTCCACTACTTCTGACCAACTGGCTACAAATTTGGAGGTTCCCTAAACCCATCAGGTTCAATAATGTGCTAGAATGACTCACAGAGTCAGCACTATCCTTATTATTACAGTTTTATTCTAAAGATACAAATCAGGATCAGCCAAATAAAGACACACGGAGAAAGAGGTCCGGGATTGTCCTGAATGCAGACCTTCCCTGTCTTCACCTCAAAGAACCCAGACATACCACCCTCCTGGCACATCAAAGTGTTCACCCAACAGGACACTCCCCCGAGCTTTGGTGTCTAGAGTTTTTATACACACCATTGGTTCACTCACTGGTCATGTGATTGAACTCAATCTTCAGCCCCCTCCGCCCTCAGAGGTCAGGAGGTCAAGTTGATATCCTGTGACCCACAGCCCCAACCCTCCAATCACATGGTCCATCTCTCTGGCATGGCCTGAGACATCTCATCAGCATGACCACCCAGGGTCTCACCACGAGTTACCCCATTAATGTAAACTATCAGCACCCACCACGAATACCAAAGACTCTCCTATCCCTTGGGAAATCCCAAGAGCTTAGAGGTCATATCCCAGGAACCCAAGACAAAGACTAAATACGTTATTCACTGTAGAACAAGTAGCTTGTGCAGCTACTTAATGGGTTTGCTGTGTTCCCACCCTACACATTTCAAAGACAGCACAGCGTGTGCCCAGCTCCTGAGAAATAAGCCATAACCTACTGGATTTCTGTCTGATAAATCTTTACGTGGGGCCTTGGGCCACACCAGATATTTTATACTAATAATGTGATTTATGGTGGGGACTGAGAGCCCCCAGTATCCCTCTGACTTAGAGGCCTGGAGACTGAGTAATTAAGGTCAGGCATACAGATACTCCAAGCCTCTATAACTGAACCCCAGTGAAAGCCCTGAACACAAGACCCAGGGGAGCTTCCTGGTTGGCCATACTTCACGCAGGTTGTCACACGTGCTGCTGGAAAAAGTGAATGCTGTTCATACAAGTCCACCGGCAGAGGACAACTGGATCTCATGTCTCTTCTCTCCAGGACTCTGCCCTATGTGCCTGTTGCCTTTCCCAATTTTAATCTGCATCCTTTCACTGGAATAGACTGTAACCGTAGATGTAACTGTGTGGTGAGTACTAGCAAATCGCCGAAGCCGTGGGTGGTCTTACCCCTGACACAGTCTTCTTTCCATACTTTTGGCAACCAGCCTCGCACTTGACAAAACTCTTGATCACACAGCCTCTCTGAAATCCTTATTACAATTGCTCAGGACAAAAATCTCTGCATCATCCCGGGTAACCCCCTTCCCTTTATATTCCACGATCATTGGCTCCACCCTCAAAATACATCCCAGACTGAACCACTTCTCACTTTTCTGGTCCTACCACTGGCACCCAAGCCCTGGTCCTCCTCTGTTCCCACCCCTGCCCCAGCCTTCTTCCTGACCCTTGAACAATGACCTCAGAGCCTTCGCACTGCCGTTTCTGTGCCTGGACGGTCTTCCAGATCTGCACAGAGATGGTTCCATCTACGATTCTGTTCAAACGTCTCGGCACAGACGCCTTCTCCCTGCATCCCTCTGCACTGCTGTGCCCTCTGCTGGCCCCGACCAGCCCCCTCACTTCATTTTACTTTTCGTTGTGCTTCCATCGGCACTCTCCCTGCTAATTACGCAAGGTCCAGGAAGATGGGGATCTCGATTCTCTCGTTTGCTGCCACAGCCCGAGACATCATGAGAGCGCAAGAGAGCCATTGAAATGACAAAAGGGTGATGCCCTGTGAGTCTAGGAGGCAGGACAGGGCCACTTAGGTCTCTTATTTGGGAAATGGGAGCTATGGCTCTACAAAGAGCTCTGACCTGCTCTAGGTCACAGAGGCCAAACTGAGGAGCACTTTTCAGGTCCTTACACTGCTGCTCACCTCCAGGCTAGGGAAGCTGGGCAGAGAGTTTCCCAGAACAACCCTGAGAAGAGCATGGTTTGGGGAAGAGCCTGGAGGGAGGGGTTGAGGGGAGGGAGGACGCTGGCCAGCAGGTGCCTGGGTCGGGAGGCAGCACCCTCTTCCCCCAGCCTGCTACACAAGGAAAGCTGACATCCTTCCCTCCCCTTCCCTCGGAAGGACTGACCCTCAGCGCCTGAGATCCCACCCCAACCTCCTTCCTCAGCTGCTTCCCCACTCCTACCTGTCACAGGGCGGGGGCAGGGCACCCTGGGACCCCAGCCCCAGCAGAAGCAGCTGGCACAGCATGAAGGCCCTCCCAGGCATGGTGACTGTGGCCTCAGCCAAGGAATAAGCCCAGGTACCCCTTGCTTGCAGGGGCGCAGGCTGACTCACCTGCCTACCAGGGCTGCCAAAGTCCACAACTGAGGCGTGGCCACCCTGGGCGCTGTATGTCAGGTCTGCGCGGCCTTGCTGTCCCGGCTCAGCTTGCAGAAGCCAACCTCTGCTCCCCACTGTGGACTTTTCCTCTTCGTTTCTTAGTCTCAGCGGGTGCCACCTGCTCAAGCCCTTCCCTCATGTGGTGGGGTGGTGGTGGGTGACTGGGGTGCCCCGGTGTCTGGGGCACAAGTTGGTCCCACATCTGTGACCCAGATGCCAATCGCTCTGGTGGCTCCAAGATCACCACGGCAGAGAGTTACCTTTTCCTTTAACATCTCAAACAGAATGGCTCAAGTTTCCGTCCCACGTGTGGATCGATGGCTTGGGTCTGAAATGACATTGGGGTGGGGGTGGGGGGGGAAGGGCACATGGGAAGATATACTCTGGAAACCTGTCACCATTTGAGATTAGTGACTGCGTGACCCTCCCTTTAGGACTCAGCCTCACTGTCCAGGAGGTCAGTTGTGGTGCCTGAGAACAGTATCCGTCACACGACAAAAGGGCCCTGTCCCTCTCCACTGCCCTGGTAGCGTGCCCCCTTCCATCCTGCCTCCAGATGCTACATGCTTCCTTCCTTCCTTTTTATAAGTGTTTTTCTTGTGGTTAAAACAGATATCACATAAAATCTGCCATTTCAGCCATTTTAAAGTGTATAATTCAATTTATATTACATTCACAATATTTCGAAACTATTGCCACTCTTTATTTTCAAAACTATTTTTTTTTCAATGTTTATTTATTTTTGGGACAGAGAGAGACAGAGCATGAACGGGGGAGGGGCAGAGAGAGAGAGGGAGACACAGAATCGGAAACAGGCTCCAGGCTCCGAGCCATCAGCCCAGAGCCCGACGCGGGGCTCGAACTCCCGGACCGCGAGATTGTGACCTGGCTGAAGTCGGACGCTTAACCGACTGCGCCACCCAGGCGCCCCAAAACTATTTTTTTTTTATCATCCCAAAGAAGGGTGCCTGGGTGGCTTGGTTGGTTAAGCGTCCGACTTCAGCCCAGGTCATGATCTTGGGGTTCGTGGGTTCAAGCCCCACGTCACGCTCTGTGCTGACAGCTTGGAGCCTGGAGCCTGCTTTGGATTCTGTGTCTCCCTCTCTCTCTGCTCCTCCCCTGCTCGCACTCTGTCTCTCTCTCTCTCTCTCTCTCTCTCAAAAATAAATAAAACATTAAAAAAATTATCATCCCAAAGATACATTCTATAACCATCAGGCAGTAAGTCCTCTCTTCCCATGGCCCCTGGAAGCCACTATTCAACTTTCTGTGTCTATAAATTTACCTATTCCAGACACTTAACGTAAATGGAATTTATTCCTAGGTATTTTATTTTTTTAGCTGTTTTTGCACATGGGATTGCTTCTCAAATTTCCTTTTCAGGTTGTTCTTGGCAGATGTGTGGAGACACAACTGATTTTTTTGACTGGTGATTTGCGTCTGCAGCTTTGCTGAATCTGTTTATTAGACCCAGCAGCCTTCCTGTGGATCCTTGGGATTTTCTATATACAGAATCATGTCATCTGGGAATAGATATGCTCTTCCTTTCCAATTTGCATGCTTTTTTTTCTTGTTCTTGTTCTGTTGTTCTGCTAGAACTTCTCGTACAACGTTGAATAGCAGAGGTGACTGTTGAGGATTTTCCATCACATGCATAAAAGATATTGGACTGTAATTTTCTTTTCATGTGATATCCTTACACGGTATACGCATTAGGCATTGCTGGTCTCTAGGAGGAGTTAGGAATGTTTCCTCCTCTTCCATTTTGGAAGATCTTGAGAAGGGTTGGTGTTAATTCTTTCGATGTGTGGTAGAGTCAGCCAAGGAAGACATTGGTCTTGGACTGTATTAGGATTCTCCAGAGAAACAAACAATAGAATGTGTGTGTGTGTGTGTGTGTGTGTGTGTGAGAGAGAGAGAGAGAGACAGAGACAGAGACAGAGACAGAGAGACTTATCTTTAAAAATTTGCTTATGGGGCACCTGGGTGGCTCAGTCGGTTAAGTGTCCAACTTCAGCTCAGGTCATGATCTCGCGGTTTGTGAGTTCGAGCCCCACGTCGGGCTCTGTGCTGAGAGCTCTGTGCTGACAGCTTGGAGCCTGGAGCCTGCTTCGGATTCTGTGTCTCCCTCTCTCTCTGCACCCCCCCCCCCCACTCATGCTCTGTCTCTCTCTCAAAAATGAATGTTAAAAATTTTTTTTAAATATGCTTATATTAAAAAAATAAAATAAAAAATTTGCTTACGTGACTATGGAGGCTGGCAAGTCCAAAGGCTGCAAGTTAGATCCTTAGGCTGGAGGCCCAGAGAAGTCTAAAGGCAGTCTCTAGGCAGAATTCCCTCTTCTTTTGGGGAGGTCAGTGTTTTTCTATTAAGGTCTTCAACCGAAGAGATGACATCGACTCACAATAGTGAGGGTATGAAATGAATAAAGGAAACTCTCATTTCAAATATAGTCAGGGGCACTTGGGCGGCTCAGCTGGTTAAGTATCCCCTTGATTTCAGCTCAGGTCATGATCTCACAGTTCCTGAGTTTGATCACTGCATCAGGCTCTGTGCTGACAGCTCAGAGCCAGGAGTCTACTTCGGATTCTGTGTCTCCCCCTCTCTCTGCCCCTTCTCAGCTCACGCTCTGTCTCTCTCTCTCTCAAAAATAAACGTTTATTTATTATTGAGAGACAGAGCATGAGCATGGGAGGGGCAGAGAGACAGGGAGACACAGAATCCGAAGCAGGCTCCAGGCTCCAAGCTGTCAACACAGAGCCCAATGCAGGGCTTGAAACTCACCAACTGTGAGATCATGACCTGAGCTGAAGTTGGACGCTCAACCGACTGAGCCACCCAGGCGCCCCATAAACATTAAAAAAATTTTCTTAAATAAAATAAAAATTTCTGAGACTTGTTTTGTGGCCTAACATATGATCTTATCCTGGAGAATGTTCTGTGTACATTTGAGAAGAATATGTTTTCTACTATTGTTGGGTACAGAGTTCTATATATCTTAGGTCTAGCTATTTTACAGTTTTGGTCTCCTATTTCCTTATTGATTTCTGTCTAGTGTTCTATCCATTAAAGGGGCACTGAAGGCTCCGGCTATTAACAGAACTATTACTCCCTTCAATTCAACTTTTACACACACTCTCACCCTGGGATGACAGTGGTCTTAGCAGGCCTCTCTTCCTCTCTTTCCCTGAGCACACAAAGCTGATAAAAGAAGTGTTACTATGCCTGTATTGTTTTCCAAAGTTCCCAGGGGCATAAAATGATCTAGACTAACATATTCAAATTCGGACTCCTTTGGAAAGGACAGTTCAGGAAAACAGTGTTTGATGTTTGTTCTGATCCCACCTCCGGGCCCTCCTTCACAGCACTTGGGGCCCGTGGCAGCTGGGACCCTGGGGCTGGGTGATTTTCAGTATTCGTAAGCATCTCCACGGAACAATACAGCATTTGGAATATATGTGTTTGTGAAGCCAGGTTGTGTGGGTTATGGGAGGGGGTATGAGGGTAGGAGAGCTAGGTGTCGCCACAAAACAAGATTTCCTCCTTATTGATGTTCCAGGGGGATAAGGACCCATCCCATGACTTCTAGGTCGCTACCTTGACCCCACTGCACTGTGGCCAAGGATTGGCTGGGAGGGTAGAGCAATTACAATTGCTCAGAACAAAAATCTCTGCATCATCCCAGGTAACCCCCTTCCCTTTATATTCCACGATCATTGGCTCCACCCTCAAAATCCATCCCAGACTGAACCACTTCTCACCTTTCTGGTCCTACCACTGGCACCCAAGCCCTGGTCCTCCTCTGTTCCCACCCCTGCCCCAGCCTTCTTCCTGACCCTTGACCGTGACCTCAGAGCCTTCACACTGCCCTTTCTGTGCCTGGATGGTCTTCCAGATCTGCACAGAGATGGTTCCATCTACGATTCTGTTCAAACCTCTCCTCCTCACAGACGCCTTTCCCTCTGCATCCCTCTGCACTGCTGTGCCCTCCGCTGGCCCCTAGCAGCCCCCTCACCTCATTTTACTTTTAGTTGTGCTTCGATCAGCACTCTCCCTGCTAATTACGTGAGGTCCAGGAAGATGGGGCCCTGGTTTCTCTGGCTCATTGCCATAGCCAGTCGGTCGCTGTAGTGGGCCAGGAGCATCAGGACCACTCCACTGGTCTAGCCAAAGCCCTCCTGGAGAGAGGAATGGCTAGTGGGGCAGGATCTCTGGGGAAGGCCCTCAAGCCCTATTTTAGGGGGTGTGAGATCTCTACCCAGGG